TTGCTACATCCACTAGCCATTCTACAGTGTCAGTGGGGATGGTGAAGCTGGGGTCCCTGTGTCCTGGGAAGGACAGGGATGAGTGGGAGGTGTGCAGGCTGCCATGTGACAGCCCCCTTACTACAGCCTGTGTGCTGGATGGAGAGGAGTTTGCTGAGGGAGTCCAGTGGGAGCCTGATGGTCGGCCCTGCACCACCTGCGTCTGTCAAGATGGGGTACCGAAGTGCGGGGCTGCACTCTGTACCCCAGCCCCCTGCCAGCACCCCACCCAGCCCCCTGGTGAGTGCCTGGGCTGATCCTGGCTTTCTTCCCCTGCATTACCCAGCTCACCCTGACCAGCCTGCCCCACCCAGGTGCCTGCTGCCCCAGCTGTGACAGCTGCACCTACCATGGCCAAGTGTATGCCAATGGGCAGAACTTCACGGATGCAGACAGCCCTTGCCATGTCTGCCGCTGCCAGGTAGCTGCCCAGCCTTGCTGCTGCCCTGCTGAGCCCCTCCTGGGCGTGCCCCCATTGCTCTCTCCCCTGCTGTCTCCCAGGATGGAACTGTGACATGCTCCTTGGTTGACTGCCCTCTCACGACCTGTGCCAGGCCCCAGAGTGGACCGGGCCAGTGTTGCCCCAGGTGCCCAGGTATGTGGGCACTCACTGTGCCTGAGGGGATCAGGGCCCCAGAGGCTGCTGTCCCACAGTCCCATGGACCCAACAGATACCTTAGAAAGCATTGGCCTTCTGAATTGTTTCAGTCCTGTTTCAGAGCTTAGAACTTTCTAGAACTCAGGGGGTGTGTGTGGGTGGGAGGGAGAGAAGAGATTTGTTTATTCCTGCCTGTACCTACACCACCCTCCCCTCCCATGCTGCATTTCCTCTTTTACTAACTACTGTCCCCCACCACCACTCTAGAGCCCCCACCCCCCAGCCCCCAGGTATCTACCTGGATAACACAGGTTCATGAGCAGACACTTGAGCCTGCCACATAGGAGGCCGGGTGCTGGGATGCATGGGACATGTCCCTGCCCGCATAGAGTCTGTGTGAGGGCGTGTGTCAAACACAGGTACACACGTGTGTAAGCACTCCCCTTCTTCCCCTCAGAGACACACATCTGCCTGCAGGTGAATGATCCCCAGTGCACATGCACACACACGTGTGTGCTCAGAATGATACACACGCCTGCACACATGTGCACATGGCCACTTCCTCCTCTTCCCTATCGAGTCAGCTTCCTAGTGGGCACTTGGGCAGCGGCTCCGGACTCCAGGGCTGGAGGGGCTGTCAGGCTTTGCCCTCATACCTGCCCCCACTGTCCACTGCCTAGACTGCATCCTGGAAGAAGAGGTGTTTGTGGACGGTGAGAGCTTCTCCCACCCCCGAGACCCCTGCCAGGAGTGCCGATGCCAGGAAGGCCATGCCCGCTGCCAGCCTCGCGCCTGCCTCAGGGCCCCCTGTGCCCACCCGCTGCCTGGGACCTGCTGCCGGAACGACTGCAGCGGTGAGCTGGGCGAGTCGGGGCGACCTTCTGGGATGACGTGGCCCTGGGAAGGCAGCAAGCCCTGGGGGAGTCGCCGTCTCCCAGGCTATAGCCGCTGCCTCCCACAGGCTGTGCCTTTGGCGGTAAAGAGTATGCCAGCGGAGCGGACTTCCCCCACCCCTCTGACCCCTGCCGTCTGTGTCGCTGTCTGGTGAGTCTGCATCTGGGTGGGAGGAACCCAGGGGAGTGGAGGCGGGACTTGCGGAGGCCAGGAGAGGCCCGCCCAGGTGGGAGGGGTGGGACCTGGTGGCACCTGGTGGCAACTGGATGGGAGGGGTCTCCTCGGCCTCCCCCAACTAACCCACCGACCCGTGGTGCGTCTGTCGGTCCGTAGAGCGGCAACGTGCAGTGCCTGACCCGCCGCTGCTCGCCGCTGCCCTGTCCAGAGCCTGTCCTGCTGCCGGGAGACTGCTGCCCGCAGTGCCCGGGTAGGGGCCGCATCCCTCGGCTGCTCCTCCCCCGAGGTCCCCTCGGAGGTCTGTTCCTG